TTTGTAGAAGATGTTGCAATGCAATCAATCTGTAAAAGAGAGAAGTCTTAAGAGAGTTAAAGGATGTAGTATTTGGATCTGTTCCTGGCAGACATGTTAAATGGATTGGAATACATTGCAAACTCAAATATTATTTTAATAAGATCACTGATCAACTAACCATAAACATTCTTGAGTTTGCACATTGAGGAGCAGAACAATTTTGATCACACGTCGCCATTGTAATGACATGCTGGTCTTTCAGTATAATTGCATTTGAAAAACAATTTTGCTTTTAATTTTGACACTATGGCTTCCTCATATATTCTGTAATAAAGAGAATATAATAGGTTAAGTGAAGACTGTTAATTACTCTAAGAATATAAGAATCATAATGCAAATGGGAATTGTATGGGGTGCCAAGAAAAAAGAAAGAATTAAGACTATAAAATAAAGTAAAATGTGACAATTTAAAATATGGATAAACTTCAACAATACATTTAGATGCCATTTCTGTTCCTAATTAAATATTGAACTATGTAACTCCTAATATAGTGGAATAGGTTACATTCTTCAAAAGACTTTAGTCATTTCAAATGATTCATTCTTATATAGATAATGAAAAACAAAACACACAAACAGCTTGCTCGGGGCTGCTGACTGCAATTTATAGTATTCTTAACCAGCATCGTAGATACAAAATAAAAGTAAAAATAATTAAAAGTATGGTTTTAATCATAATTCACTTTAGTAATGCAAAGGGTTGACACTGTGAAAGTGTCAATCTCACGGACCTGACAATTTCATGCAAGATTATATTATTTCACTAAATACTTATGTTAGAAATACAGTCAAATTAATATGATGTAAGTATGAAAAAATGAATGTGGGAACGTAGCTTGCGACTTAGTGAAATGACTGCTCACTACAGGAGCTCTCTTACGAACTGTCTTTATAATAGCATTTAGGAGCTAGACAAGTGAGTATTTTAAGAATTTACTTTGATGGCACACAAGATTTAAAAAAAGAACGACAAGCTTGGAGCTAAACCAAAACTTAAAGAAACACTTTAAGCACCCAAACAACATTAGCTTAATGAAGTAGTTTTGGTGTATATATCATGCCCCTGCTGTCTAACTGCTCAATTCTCTGTGATTTAGGAGATAAGTCACTTTGTTTTTACAGCCCTCTTCACACCTTCCCTGTGCGTATGGTCACTTCTTGAAAAGAGTACAAGTTTTTTAGATTTGTTTATTGCACAGTACATTTAATGAATTTTATTTTGTTTATTTTGTATCTCCTTCTTTTTGTTTTTTTAGTTGTGCATAAAGGTAAAATAGATTAATCTGCATTGCTCCACCAACATAAACAGGCATTAGTTAATACATAGGATAACTGTTGGTCAGCATTCCGAGAGTTCAGGACATTTTTACAGAAGGTATGATATTTAAACTAAGCATGCATATCTAATTGATTTACTAAGGTTAAACCTTTGAACGAAAGATTTACTAGACATGAAAAGTTGCATTAGAACATCCTAGAGGCTCCCAGTTATCTAACCTCAGGCACGGGAAACTGAGCATTTCTTAATGATTGTGTTAGGCTAGGTACAGAGATGTATGTAAAAGAAAAATATCATTGTGTTAGTTGGTTGCTTCAGAGATTGGTAACTATTTTCGGCAGTGTAAGTGAAGCCGGATCAGTCAGGTTCCATTCAGCCTATGCGTATAGCAGGTAGGACAGAGTCACCCAAGAGGTTGCGGATCTGCTAGGCTTGGCTCTGAACTGCTGTCAACGTGGCAGTAATAAACACCTCTGATTCCTTATGTGGATTCCCAACCACATCCACTCGCCTGCAGGTCCTGGAGCTTGTCACAACCCAAGGTATTGCAAATGGGGTATGTCAAGTCTTTTTTAGTAGCCACTTGGTCACAAACACTGGCCAAAGTTAGTGTTAATATTTGTGTGTGGAAAATGCATAAAACTAATTTGAACGCCAATTTTGGCCAGTGTTTGTGACTAAGTGGCTACTAAAAAATACTGGACATACCCCATTTGCAATACCTTGGGTTGTCTACTATTGCAAATGGTATGCCATCATGAGGGTAATTCTCATTCCTCGACTACCATACGGTCTCAAAGACAATGTAACCAATCTGGCGAATTTCAATGTGAAAAAACTGCCTTATATATGACTCTGTAACTTTTGAAAACAACATAAAACCTGTACATGGGGGGTACTGTTATACCCAGGAGACTTCGCTGAAAACAAATATTAGTGTTTCAAAACAGTAAAAAGTATCACAGCAATAATATCGTCCGTGTAAGTGCTGTTTGTGCATGAAAAAGGCAAAAAACTTCACTTTTACTGGCGATATCATCATTGTAATACACTTTACTGTTTTGAAACACTAATATTTGTGTTCAGCGAAGTCTCCCGAGTAGAACAGTACCCCCCATGTACAGGTTTTATGGTGTCTTGGAAAGTTACAGGGTTAAATATAGTGCTAGCAAATTAAATTCCCTGGACTTTCGGCCTGGGTTGTCAGGCAGGTCCCACAAATTGTAATTAATAAAATGACCTAATTATGTAAAATTATTACATAAATATATATATATATATATATATATATATTAAAATTTTTTTACATTTTTTGAATTTATGTATAGATATATATATAGTGATATATACATATATACTTATGTATATAGATATATATATTATTTCATTCTATGTGTATTTTGATATCAGTATATATATATATATATATATATATATATATATATACATTTTAAAATACAGTTAGAACAAAATTACTCATATATATTTTTTATTTTTTATTATTTTTTAATTTGATTTTTTAATGTATTTACATATATATATTTATTTTATATTATAAAGTATCCGCTCTTAATAGGATATCCCTTATGCTCTTTCCCCTTTTGGCAGCAAATATGGGTGAGTTTTTAAATAGGTGTCCGGATTGCTTATCACCCTGTAAAATATGCTAATTAGATCAAATCACATTCTGTATTTTAATGGTCAGTGGGGAGTAGATACTTAAAAATGGAATACATGTGGGCGTGGCCTGAACCTGAAACGGAGCGGACGCCATCTCTGCTTCCTCCTAACAAGCCTGAAACAAATCTGCAAACATCCTGCAACGGAACCGACCGATTGCCAGACCCACCTCGAAACCAGCATCGGGGTGACGAAGCGCACACATTGATGCCTTTCTTTCAACCCCAGAGATCTGGCAAGGTGAAACGGAGGCTCAAGGCCTATCCCTCGCCGACCATCTCCGGGCTCGAGGACTTCCTAGGCGGGGTGTACAGCCGGGGTGAGCATACGCTATCAAGCGACCCCTTGCCGACCCACAACGATACCCCAACGAATATGGGGAGACGTACGCAAAAAGCACAGTCCGGACACCCAGCAGAGCAGCCTGACATAGGGGCTCTACTACAGAGACAGGCACAATCCAAGATGGCCACGGAGGCTCAACAAACTCCGACACCGACCTGTGCAGCATCTCATACTCCCACACAAACGGAGAATAACAGTGAGTACACCCTGACACCACCACAGGCACCACCTGACAACACTCTGGCCACCAAACAGGACCTCCTTAATTGGGTGCAAGACATCAAGGAGACACTGGCCACAGATGTGGGCCTACTTAAAGGGGAAGTACAAAAAGTAACTGAAAGAGTAAGGGTGACAGAGGAGAGCATCGTGAACATTCAAACAGACATCACACAAGTAAAAGAAGCAATACAACAAATGCAGACTACCCAAATGGGACTCTCCATACAACTGTCGACCCACGAAGACCGAGCTCGGCGCAATCACGTTAAGATACGAGGGATACCCACCGACATCACACCTGATGAACTGCCTCACTATGTGAGAAGGCTCCTGGCCACCATTCTACCGCCAGCAACAGCTAGGAAGAGGCTCCTTGATGGGCTCTACAGGCTCCCACCCTCGAATACTATGCCCAACACAACTCCCAGGGATGTTATCTTACGCTGTGCCACCACACAGGACAAAAACAACATCATGTCGGCAGTACGGGACATAACCCCCTTGACCTTTGAAAACGCACAGCTGTTATTTTTCCAGGACTTAACCAGAGCCACCCTTCAGTGGCGCCGAACACTGTCCCACTTTACAAACCAACTGCGCGCCGCAGGGGTGCCATACCGCTGGGGTGCACCTCGATCCCTGCTAATCACTCACAATGGGACCACGCACAGAGTTTCCACGCCCACAGAAGTACCTGCGGTGCTCACCAAGATGGGTCTATTTGCAAGAAACGACACAGCAGAGACCCCTGCACAGAGATGGGATCCAGACAACACTGTACCATTCACCCCGAGAAACATGACACTGACAAACCGGGCCACCTGAATTACAACGGCTAGAAAGCACTCTTAGAACCACACGAAGTCCCTGGAGACGGGATGGTGTAAATGACTGCTCCAGCCACAGAAGACTTATGGTTTTCCTTTAGAAAGTTTTTTCTTAAAAGTTTAATTTTTTTTACTCTTTTATGTATATAATTACCATATTGTTATTGCCTTGTGCGACATATGTCACTGCGCTTCACACCCTTGACAGTACGCAGGTAAACGTTAACCCATAGATGACCGATACACACGAACAGCTTCACACAACGATCGGGGACGCAGAAACTCCACAAGCTCCCTCCCCCCCCCCGCCAGCCCCTTAGGTCAGGGGTACACCATCCTCCGGGAAACCCTAGATACACGGGTGCCCAGTCCACCAACATTGAACGCACATTTACCCACAGCTTGACCAAGATATCTTGACACAAGACCAGCTCACATCAGATATGCTGAGCAACTTTATCATACTCAACCTCAGTGAGCTGGGCCAACCGGCACCACGAACCGCCACGAGCCTGGGGACGTAATGCACCTGAACACAACCATGACACAGCTCTCTCGACCACCCATAGTAGGTGACATCCTGGCACAACACCACACGAACACCTGTAATACAGCATCCTGTAACCTTGAAAACTACAACTGTTACCCACACACACCACTCCTGCTGACACACACCCTTTCACCTTTTGTCTTATACTAAAAATAAAAATGTGCGCAAACCTCAAATGCCATAATGTTACACCAACTGAACCGCTTAAAATTATGACTCCTGCTGTTGTGGCAGAATACGCATGTATGTAAACGCAAGCACAATGCAAAAATAAAGAATTTAAAAAAAAAAAAAAAAAATAATGGAATACATGTAGACTGCTACTTTGAGAACGGATAGTTGGCTCTGGGTGCTCTATGCACCGTCAACCTTACAATTATGCAAAGTCGTGATGATGCGTAAAGTGATATTTTAATATATAAATTCCAAAAGGCATTACAGATCCAGTCTTGCTGTCCGTTCCACTGAAAAAGAGAAAAAAAGCAGACCAGTATATTATAGAGTAAACAAATGCCATTACAATTACCACATCTCCATGTGCATGTAATGCGTCTTAACATAATGTTTTTTTTTGTGTATATAAGTGATCTAACTTTGCTGTTAACGCCTATGTTATTTTGTGGAAAAACTGCATTTTGACTTACATCTGGACTTAACTCAACATAACTTTCCAAAGTTGAAGTGCTTTTAAGATTTAAGTTAATCTCCTCCATTATATCGTGATTATTTTACATTTCATAAGCTTTAGAGAATGAACATTTCCTCTAAAAGTAAAACAGATCGTCCATAAATATATTACATGTACTTTATGATTATTAGTAACAGATCATCAACAGATCTATAGCATATTTAGCAGCAGATTAGTAACAGATCATCTATATCTTTGTTTGAAGAAAATACATTTGCAGTGAGTTTCATATAGTGCACCCAATGAAAATATTAGTACAATTTTTCTTGGAACATGTGATCTTATTACATTGTGAGCATTTGATGGCATGTATTGTAATAGAACAAATATGTGAAATTTGCACCATTTTGAAGTTAAAACAATAAAATATACGATAACACAAGATATATAAGTATATGGAATTATGATAAATATATAAAATTACATATTGCTTGTCATTATGAATACTTTAGTACAACCTGATATGATAATCACAAACATGTCTAACATTTTTGGTATATGTAGAGAACTTTCCATCTTTTATCCCAAGCATGGTCTCTTTACATGAATAGACATTTCCATATTGATACTTTGGGAAGAGTTCAGAGAAGGGCTACTAAACTGGTTCATGGATTGCGGGATAAAACTTACCAGGAAAGGTTAAAGGATCTTAACATGTATAGCTTGGACAGGGGGGATATGATAGAAACATTTAAATATATAAAGGGAATCAACACAGTAAAAGAGGGGACTATATTTAAAAGAAGAAAAACTACCACAACAAGAGGACATAGTCTTAAATTAGAGGGACAAAGGTTTAAAAATAATATCAGGAAGTATTACTTTACTGGGAGGGTAGTGGATGCATGGAATAGCCCTCCAGCTGAAGTGGTAGAGGTTAACACAGTAAAGGAGTTTAATCATGCGTGGGATAGGCATAAGGCTATCCTAACTATAAGATAAGGCTAGGGACTAATGAAAGTATTTAGAAAATTGGGCAGACTAGATGGGCCGAATGGTTCTTATCTGCCGTCTCATTCTATGTTTCTATGTTTCAAACTGGGCCCTCTATAGCATTTTTACAGCTCTGACGTCACTTAATGAGTGCAACATTCAAGTTTATAGGAATAGTTTTCTTAAAGAACTAAATATTACGATGGAGTATAACGTAACTGCTCCTTTGGAGTTAAACCACTTTATAGTATGTACCTGGCTGTGCTGAAGATATTCCCAGTAATTACAGAAATAACTAAAAAGGTAAATTATAAGATGAACTCTTTGCAGATGAAACCTGTAAAAGTTTAGTATCCTATAAAAAGATAGTTAGACCTTTCTTGTTCAAACACCATGCAGAACAGTATCCTGACCATATGGAGTAGAAGACTTGTTGAACCACAGGGGTGGTCGTTATTTATTTATAAAATATCTTACCAGGAAAGATACATTGAGATTTCTCTAGTTTTCAAGTATGTCCTGGGTTAGCTGTTGTATATCCTAGAAGACATTACTGGAAAACACCATACATTATTTTTACCATTTTGCTCAGTATTATTACATGCAGTGAAATGGAGTGTACTGGAGATGACCAATTCCTGTTAGTTCCATGAATCCTCCACCGTCTGCCCTTTGGGTGGGAGAGATTGGAGTGGCATTATTAGGGAAAGCAAGAGGTTCTATGATAATCCATCAGTATTTTGCATATTTAATAATGATGTGTGTAATTCTACAGTACTCACAGAGAGAGGGATGCCTCAAGCTGGTACATTAAGCCAGTGACCACCGGTAAAGGTTTAAGATGGCATCTCCAGCCATCTCTGAATCTCTAGCTCTTCTTTATCTGGTCTCAACTTCAGTAGTGCTAGTGCTATGACATGGCTGACAACTTTGGTTTTCTAGTAAACGTTGCTGCTGCTGCTGTTGCTGCTGCTGCTGCTGCTGCTGCTGCTGCAGCTGCAGCTGCAATAAAACATGTCAGTACTACTGGGTCACTATTACCACTGCAGATTGATTGTATTGACAGCTACAGGGGCAAATGGAGTCTATTTTTCTTTTAAAAGACAGCACTGAACAGCCTGCAGGGACAGGCTGTAGACACCAGATCCACTACAATAATCTGTAGTTGTTCTGGTGACTATAGTGTCCCTTTAAATAACTGCCTTTTGATCATAGAACGGTATAAGGATACCAGGCGTTCAAGTCTGTTCATTTATCCACATTGTATTTGGAATCTGTAACACTTTTTAGTGGCAGACAGCACCTGAAAACATACCTTTAAATTGGTTTCCATTATCAAATCATGGGCAAGAAATTAATATTCAAGGGTTTTGTTAATATCACTGAGAAATCTGATCAGTTCATTATTTTATTTTACAGATATAGTTAGAGGTTAGTAAAGCATCCTTTATAATTAGTCATTATAAGAGGAAAGGTATGGTATGGGCATTTAAATGAACTTACACTGGTCGATTTATTACTATAGGGACAAAAAGAATTTAAAAAAATATATATATATATTTTTTTAGCTGGGTATATTGAACTTAAACATTAAACACCCTGCCCATCTCTGAGAGGATGGCAGACAGAGTGACTAAGGATTAAGGGGATAAGGTATTACAGTAACAGACTGACACAGTGTGGGGACAGAGTGACACAGGGCTAGCGGGGCAGGGGATTAGGGGAAAACAGTGACACAACAAGGCAGACAGAGCCAAACAAGAGGTCAGAGAGATAGGAGATTAAGCATACAGAGTGAACCAGGGCTAAGGGGACCAAGTGAAACAGGGCTTGTGGGACATTGTGGCCAGGGATGTATTTACCACAAGGCAAACAAGGCATTTGCGTAGGGCGGCACTTTCAAGGGGGGCGCCAAAAAATGCCACCCCAAGTTCCCACACAAATGCCTTGTTTACCTCATGTTCTGGGGCTGTCCACCTTACGGTGAGTGAGTGTAGCTGTCAGTGTGTGTCTGTGAGTGAGTGAAAGTGTGTGTGTCTTTCAGTGAGAATGGGTGTGCCTGGGAGTGTGTGTCAGTGTGTTTATGTCATTTTATGTGTATCTGAGAGTGTGTGCCTGTGAGTGAGTGAGTGGGTGTGTCAGTGTGTGTTTGTCAGTGAAAGTATGTGTTGGTTAAACAGTGTGTGCCAATGACTGTGGATCTGTCAGTGAGTGTATATCAGTGCATGTATCCATGAGGGCATGTGTCTGTCTGTCAAAAAAGTGGCCTTGACACGAATTGGGGGGCAAATTTAGATTTTGGGGGTGCCTGAATTTAGTTGTGCCTAGGGCAGCACAAATCCAAAATACACCACTGATTGTGGCAAAGGGTGAGAGGGACAGCAGGACAAAGGGACAAAATGCTAAATAGGTACTTAGGGTAACAAAGTGACAAAGGACTGACATTGCGCCATGTTTAGGGGGACAGAGTGACAAGGGGTGGGAACCTCTAACCCCTTGTCACTTTACCCCCTTAATGCCCTGACAGGCACAGAGCTAGGGGGACAGGAGGTTTGAGGGTGTATTTAAATATTTTAAAACTTACCTTCTGCCAGGTGGCTGAGGAGTGTCTGCAGGGCAGTGGAGAGGCTGTCCAAAATGTAGGGATACTCTCCAAGTGACTGTCCAGCTCTCCAAAGCGATGGAGAGCAGAAAATATATGTGTGGTCAGTGGCTAGCTTGATCCAATTCTGCAGAGGTGTCCACAGGACCCAATGAATGTAGGGACAGGGGCGGTAGAAGTCATGCCCTCTGTTCATTTCATACGGTAGGAGGCTGACTCCACCGCCATGATGGAGTCTACTGGAAATCTATGCCGGAGCTAGAGTTGGAGAAGAGTGGCAGAAGTAGGGCCCTTCTGTAGCTTCTTCTAGAGTGGCCACAGACTCCGCTGCCATGCTGGAGCCTGGAAGCCGAGACAGAACCTCTGGGGGAAGACTATTGGAAATCATGTCCCTATGACATTATCAGAACAGATCAGCCGACTCCACCACCATGCTGGTGTGTACAGGCTGCTTCAGTGAAGCAGGGAGAGTGAGGTAAGCTGCCAGTATTTGAAAACTTTGAGGTTCCTGACCTAATTCACCCATATATAATATAAATAATTTTTTAAGTAGATATAGGGCTTTCTTTTGATACCCTATATAGGTGACTAGATGGACAATTAAATGTACTGGAGTCAGGAGGGGGATAAAAGAAAAAAAAACACGGATCTGGTCATGACAGTGCCGCTTTAACAGTAGTCACAGAATCCAAAACTATATATTTGTAGAAAGTACATCCCGCAGGTTATATAATTAAGAGCATTTTGACACTTTTCTTTTAATCATTTTTTTTTTGTATTTTTGCAGTGCATATAGAGTTTACAACAAGCCTGAGGTACCCCAACGGCAGTCCACAGGCAGATCAACATGCATTACAGTGGGGTAATCGAAAGTTCATGCACAATTTTTATAATAATTTCAAGCTAGAACGGAGATGTATATGTCAAAGTAAAAATACGATTTTATACTACTAGATTTGCATCGAAGGGAGTTACTGTAGTCTGGAGCTGCAGTGTGTTAGCCATAGTACATTATTATTATTAACTAGACAGTGCTAAAACATTGTTAACTCAAGGTAGAATATTGTCTAAACATATTGTTCTTAAGTCTGATTAATGCTGGACCTCTAGGTTGTCTGGCTGCAGTGCTGCAGTGGCTGCATGTTACCGGAACTTTGGGCGCTTGTGGTAGTGCCCCTGTTAGCCGATTCCCTCTGCTGGGATACTGTCGGTACCTGCTGGAGGTCCTCTGGGAGCCGCTGGTGTGAGGGTGTTCAGGAGAGTGACGTTCTTGTCCCAGGTCTGTATGAGGTCTGGCATCCGTTGACCACTAACTTGGTGCTTGCTATAGTCCAAGTTTCTTCCCCTAGTAGGGGTAATGGGGGGCCTGGTGGTTCGCTTGTGTGTGCGTAGCTTGGGCTTCCATTTGTGTCGGGTGTTCCCCGGTCTGACCTTCAACTCGGGTGGGCTCTGTGGCTTGGAGGTATGTGGGGATTCTGTCGCTGTGCCCAAGGACATTCTCTTCACCTCCTTCTGCCTGTGGTTGAAGCTTTCATCTATGTGTTCCATGGTGTTTTGGTGCCGCCTTTCGAGTATCGCTGTTTCAGCCACCATCTTAGGTGCATCTAGCATAGGAGCAATGTGACTTTGCAGTGTGCATTTTGGCGGGCTGGTCGCTCCAGACTTCCAGTTCGGACCGAGATATCCCCCATCGGTCCAGAGGGGGTAGGGGTAGGAGGTGAGTGTGCAGCGGGGTCAGTATATGGAGGTGCCGGGTATAGCAGCCGCCTCTCCCCGGCTCCATGATAGGTAGGCCCCATGCTGTGTTTGCGGGTTCCTGGTGGTTGAGTGTTCCGTTTTTGATCTCTATCTGTTCCCCCGGGTGTCCCCCATCTTCGCTGTCCCCTTCCAGGCGATGTGCATGCCACTTTCCTGGGGTTTTACCCCTTGATTTAAAGATTTGTGCCAGGAGCTGATAGATGGCACGTCCATTCAGCCTGAAAGCTAGGCTCTGCCCCTTCTTTTAATCATTTTATCACAAACCTAGGTCAAATTAGTTAAATGTTTGTGTTTTTTTCCCCCCACACGTTAGTTTGGGGAAATTAATCGAGTACAATGATACCCTACATGTATACCTTTTTCCCTTAATCCTGCTCCTAATCTAACCCTTAATGCAACATTTAATCACAACCTATAATCCAACCCATGATCTAACCCCTTTTCTTATTCTAATCCTACCCACAATCCGACCCTAATCCTAAATATAATCTGACAGTAATCCAAACAATAATCTAACTCTTAATCCTACCTATAATCCAAGTCCTAATCTCTCCTCTCAAGGGATTCCCTCTGCTGATGTGAGTACTGAGTATAGTTACATAAATAATTTCATAAATATACACGTAGACTTCAAATATATAAATATATATTTATATTCTATGCGCATATTTATGTAATATTTTTACATAATTAAGTAATTTTATTGATTTGCAATTTTTAGAGACCTGCCTGACAACCCAGGCAAAATGTCCATAGAATTTAATTCACTAGCACTATATTTAACCCTGTAACTTTCCAAGACATCATAAAACCTGTATATAGGGGGTACTGTTTTACTCAGAAGACTATGCTGAACAGAAATATTAGAGTTTCAAAATAGTAAAACTTATCACAACTATGATATTGTTAGTGAAAGTGAAGTTCTTTGCATTTTTCACACACAAACGGCACTTTCACTGATGATATCATTGTTGTGATACGTTGTACTGTTTTAAAATACTAATATTTGTGTTCAGCGAAGTCTCCCGAGTAAAACAGTAACCCCCATGTACAGGTTTTATAGTGTCTTGGAAAGTTACAGGTTCCAATATAAGGCTTGCCCATTTCATTTTTTTCATTGAAATTTGCCAGATTGGTTATGTTGCCTTTGAAACCACATGGTAGCTCAAGAATGTGAATTATCCCCATGCTAGCATATCATTTGCAACCGTAGACAACCCAAGATATTGCAAATGGGATATGTACAGTCATTTTTTAGTAGCCACTTAGTCACAAACATTGGCCAAAGTTAGTGTTTATATTTGTTTTTTTGCATTTTTCACACACAGACAAATATAAACGCTAACTTTGGCCAGTGTTTGTGACTAAGTGGTTACTAAAAAATACTGGACATACCCCATATTGAATTCCCTGAATAATAAATTGGATAGGCTGTATAAATAAGATAGTGTTTTTGTTCTAATTGCATTTTAGTTGTATCAATTATTAGTGAGTCCCCTAACATTTCTCAGAACAGCAACATCCCTATCCACACCCACAATGATGCTCCAAGAATTAAAATGTCTTTGTCCATTTGAAATATTAGAAGGCATGAATATGTATTGATGCTGCTCAGACAAATAAGCATGTTGCACTAAGACCAATAGTAAAATATATTTAATCTGCTTACTTTTTATACACAATGGGAGAAGTTTACCTCTAGAATGTAAGCTAACTTGCGCAGGACCCTCAACCCCATCTATTCCTGTATGTCCAACTCATCTGCCTACAAATACATGTCTGCTAAACATGTGCAATTCGTTTCTGTCTGAATATGAATTTGGACGAATTTAGGGCAATTCGGACATTCGGGTACCTCCGAATGTCCGAATTGCCGAGGTCCCGAAAATACCAAATTTCTGAAGTGCCGAAGTTCCGAAGCACAGTATTGCCTAAGTACTAATATACTTACCCAGTTGAAGAAGAAGAATGTTACACTGTATACAAGTTAAAATAAAAAGTATACACACATAGCCAGGATTCAGCTGTAAGCATTTGCAACACTTACAACAATCAAGTAACATACATTCATATAAAATGTAAGTTACATAGCCAGTCAATGTAATGACAGGAATGAATAAGTAGATACCTCCCTAATTCCCATGATATTAGGGAGCTATCTACTAAAAGGCTGAAAGATCTGAATTGGTCTTTCAGCCAAATTTACTAATACTAAGTAAAGATTACTTAGCAGTGGCGTCGCTAGGGGGGGGCAGAGGGGGCCATGGCCCCCCTACATCATGCTGTGCCCCCCCAAATGCCAGCAACTTGCTGGCCATGTTCTTTAATTCTATTCCTTCGGACTGTAACAGTGTGTTTGTCTGTTACAGCCCGAGGGAATGCTGTTTGTGCAGAGATGCTGGGGCCGGAGAGAGCACTGACAGGTTCCCCGGCAAGGCCCCGCCCCCAAACCAAGCCACGCCTCCCACACAAGCCCCACCCCCACTGTAAAACAGCAGACCTTGCTGCTGCAGAAGATGGCTGTCTGACCCCTAGCAACAGCCTCCAGTGACAGGTAGGCTTGATGTGTGTGTGTGCGTGGACTCAGCAGTCTGTGTGTGTGTGGACTCGGCAGTCTGTGTGTGTGCTGCGGCGCTGCATGGACTCCAGCGAAGTCTGCTACGGACCTGGAAGCAGTCTGTGCGGGTGCGTGTATGGACCAGCAGTCTGTGTGCTGCGGTGTGTATGGACTCCGCAGTCTGTGTGTGTGTGTGCGCGTATGGACTCAAGCGTCTGTGTGTGTGTGTGTGTGTGTGTATGGACTCAGCAGTCTGTGTGTGTATGGACTCAGCAGTCTGTGTGTGTGTGTGTGTGTGTGTGTGTGTAAGCGGACTCAGCAGTCTGTGTGTGTGTGTGTGTGTGGACCAGCGCAGTCTGTGTGTGTGTGTGTGTGTGTGATGGACCTGTGCAGTCTGTGTGTGTGTGCATGGAATTCAGCAGTCTGTGTGTGTGTGTGTGTGTATGAATTCGTGCCCAGTGTGTGTGTGTGTGTGTATGGACTCAGCAGTCTGTGTGTGTATGGACTCAGCAGTCTGTGTGTATGGACATAGCAGCATGGGCATAGGAACCGGGGGCGATGGGGGGGGGACGCATCCCTTCCAGTAAATCATGCGGGGGGGACAGGTTATGGAGAAATCCCCTCCAGCTCCGCCGGCCTCCCTCATGTTGCAGCCGCCCGAGCACTCTGCAGAGAGCCTCAGGCGGCTGCAGCTTTG